CCGCTTTAGTAGCGGCTAGGTATTGTCAATTTAGACATAAGTGCCCACTTACTAATAATGGAGACTCAAGTGACACCACAGATTGTGGAAACACAATCACAACAAGTGAAAGAGGAGATAACCCTGATTGTGAAATCACAACAGATTGTGGAAACACAATCACAACAAGTGAATGAGGAAATACCAGCGATTGCGAAATCACAAGCCAGAGTGACAAAGGATCCTTTGAAAATCTCAGCTGGTAGGAAGGATGGGCTAGCGAGGAAGGCGAAACTAATGCATAATTCAAATATTGAATATAGTAGTCCGATTAAAACTTGGGCTCCCTATGCACTAGGAGTTGTTGCTATAGTGGTGGTATGGTTGTTTTATAAGACCGGATGTCACCCCCGATTACACAACAATGATTCAATTAGAGGTAAGCCCCCATATAATGTTATAAAACATGACTACTCCAGTTACAGACGGTAAAATGTTGGTAAACCGACGTATCATTCAGCGGTGGTCAGGTGCTTGGCCATTGGCTATACTCGTATGGCTAAAATGATTACTAAGCCACACCACCCAAGCTAGATTTTAATGGTTATGATATCGGTATGATGGTTCTTGATATTGGATTAGCAATGGCAACAAAAGATATGCTCATCAAACAAGGACTTATCCCAGAAGACATAATGAAGTAATTTAACATTTGAATATTTTATATCATTGAACATTTGAATATGGCAACAATTGCGATGATGGTCGACGGAGCTATTGTTAATGCTCTAGCTTTTTCGGGGAGTAATTATTTATTTTCTACTCTGAGGGAATCAAACGCAAAAGAAGTTGAAGAGGAGCGTAAACGACATAATAAAGAATTAGAACAACTCGAAGCAGCCCAGTCACAATGGACCAGAAATAGGATATTAAGATTAGATTTTATTAATGAAAAACTGCGTAAGCAAGGACATTCGATTCAAACATTTAAGGATGTTGAATCTGCCATGCACGAATACTTCCTGGTTTATGGAAAGAAACTTGACCCAATACAGAGACCAACAATAAGTCAGTTTTATACACCATCAGAGGCTCATAAAGACCGCGAGATAGTATTTATAATGTTTGGGTTATCAGTCATTGCTATTTTTAGCTTCACAATGACTACGCATAAGCCATGATCTATGTCAGGCTGAGTCTTATCAGCTATTATTAACCCTGACTGCTAATCTATAAATAGCACTGACTGGCTGTTCCGCTGTTAGTAACCCTGACGGCTTATCTATAAATAGCGATGACTACTCAGCTATAAATAGCGATGACTGGCTGACTGCTTATGTTAGGCTGGGCAGGACTCGGCTGATGACATGCATTTAGACAAATGATACTAGAAGTGTAAATTTATCACAATGGCGAGAGGCACATCAAGATGTAAATTCATACGCATGGGCCAATCACAAATTTGTGGAAAGAGCTGTATGTCGGATTTTTGTGGAATCCATTCCATTGCAATTAGAAAAGGGCATATTAATTATTCGTGTTCTGTATGTGGGATTGGGGTCAAAGGTAGTAACTGTTTATGTTAGAGTCACGGTGCTGACAAGAAATGGTTTCAAATTATTTATGAGAGGAAAAAGGCTTACCGAAATGAGATAAATAGATTGGGTAGAATTCAAACCAATTAGACATTAGTTCACATGTATTTATATATCACAATGACTTATGTTGTCAGAGAGCTGAAAGCTTTGGCAAAGCAACGTGTTCTACGTGGATATTCTCGAATGAGAAAAGCTGAACTGATTGATTTACTCGGTTTGGAATACAACAAACCCCAGACTGTTAGAGAACTCAAAGCTCAAGCGAAAAACAGTGGGCTGAGAGGTTATTTTTTTGAATGAGAAAAGCTGAATTGATCGCTTTACTAGATAATAATCAATCCGATGATGGTGATAAAAATAATCAACCAGTTGATGAGTTAAAATTTGTACCCACAGCCGGCGTTTGTAAATATCTAAGAGGTTGGAAGATTGATATTAATTCCAACATGGATGTTAATGATGTTAAGCCCATCGTATCAAGCAAAATTAACAAGGAGTTAGATGATTTAAATAGTATAAAATACCAGCTGACGATTAAAATATCATTGAGTAAAAGTAACGCAGACGATAGCACTGAATATACCGAACCATATTTCCGGAGCAATCAAGAAGTTATAACCAAATCCGATACTATAAGCACATGATTAGATACATCAATTCAGAGGATACAAGAAACTTTAGAACGCTGGACTAATAGAGGTTCGGGTTGGGGTGTGGATAAAATCGATAGTTTATATTTAGATATAGCAAATAATATGCCTTTCAAAGGTGGATCTTATATAGATTTACCCCTGTATCATAAAAAAAAGAAGAAGCCATAATTAATGTGAAAAAAAAAGGCGATGACTGTTTCAGAATGATGTGAGATCTGCATTGTTCCCCGTAGACAAACATCCGGATAGGCCTTCTAGCTATCCCCAAAACGATGGACTCAACTTTGATGGTATAGACGAACCTACACCAATCTGACAAATGGATAAGGTGGAAAAGCAAAATAATTTAGCTATAAATGTTTTCGGACATTCTTCTAAAGGAATTGTTGTACACAGGATAAGCTCCACTCCAGAACATATTTCCAGAATCAATTCATTTCTGATCGAAAAAGATGGTAAATATCATTATACATGGATAAAGAGTTTAAACAGGCTATTATGCGATCAAACAAAACATGCAGGAAAGAAATATTTCTGCGAAAGATGCCCTCATGGATACAGCAGACAAATCTATTAGAAGCACATAAAGAAGACGGCAGAGGTGTTGGACAGAATGCTATCAGGATCGATATGCCTAAAGAGGTGAAAAATATAATAAAATTTGAACATTATTGTAATCAAATGCCAGTACTGTACGTAATTTATGCTGACTTCGAAGCACTTATCAAACCTATAGAAAATACAGTCCGAAGATATCAAGACAGTTTTACGTATAAAACTCAAGATCATATTCCTTGTGGGTTTGGATATATAGTTGTAAGGTATGATGGGAAAACAAACCCGCCCGTGATTTACAGAGGTCCTGATGCAGCGGGAAAGTTCCTAGAATATCTACAAAACGAAGAGAAAACAATCAGGACAAATTTATCGTGTAAGAAACCCATGTGTATGACGAGGGATGATTGATTGGCCTATAAGAAGTCAACTAGTTGTCATGTTTGTAATAAACCTCTGAATGGGGATTCTGTAAGAGATCATTGCCACATCATGTGTAATTATCGGGAGCCGCGCATAATGAGTGTAACTTGAAACTAAAAATGAATTCTCAAACAATACCTATCCCCGTTGTATTTCATAACCTCAGAGGATATGATTCACATCTCATCATGCAAGCTATCTCAAAGACTGACGGTGGCTTAACGTGTATTCCTAATAATATGGAAAAATACATATCATTCTCGATGACTAAAACTAAACATTATACGGACAAGGATGGGAAAGCCAGAATAAAGCAAAGTAATGGGCTTAGATTCATAGACTCTGTACAGTTTCTGTTATCTTCCCTGGACAATTTAGCTAATGCGAACAATCCCGATGACTTTGCAATAACAAATCAATATACTGATCGGTTAACTCGTCATTTGTTGTTGAGAAAAGGTGTATATCCTTACGAATATATGGATGATTGGTCTAGATTCAATGAAACTAAATTACCACCCCTTGAATCATTCTATAGTAACTTAACAGAATCTAAAATAACAGATGCCGATTATGAACATGCTCTGACGGTGTGGGATGAATTAGGTTGTAAGAATTTAGGCAATTATCACGATCTGTACTTAAAAAACGATGTACTGTTACTCGCAGATATATTCGAGATATTTAGAAAGACATGTTTAAAACAATACGGCTTGGATCCAGACATGGTACTTTTCCAGTCCCGGACTATCGTGGGATGCATTGTTGAAGAAGACCGGTGTAGAACTAAAATTACTCACAGATTACGATATGCACTTGTTTATTGTGAAAGGATTAAGAGGTGGCATATCAATGGTAGCAAAAAGGTATTCTAAGGCTAATAATAAATTAGTGGAAGGATATGATCCGAGTAAACCCGACACGCATGTATTTTATCTCGACGACAACAATTTGTACGGATGGGCTATAAGTCAACCTTTACCCATGAGTGGTTTTGAGTGGGTCAATGTGAATGATATTGAAGTGAATGATATCTCCTCAGATTCTGATAAAGGGTACATACTAGAAGTTGACTTGGAATATCCAAAATCATTACATAAAGATCATAACAGTTATCCACAAGCTCCTGAAAGATTAATGGTTAATAAAGATTGGATGTCGGAATATCAACACTCCTTGATGGGTAATACAAGGTTAGCTAACGTAGAAAAACAAAATATATAGTTCACTACAGAAATCTCCAGTTATATCTATCGTTAGGCGACACTTTTTTTATTTCTTGGTTTACGGATTTCAAACTCATTTCAAAAGTGAGGCAGGCCAATTTAAAAAAACAACAAAAAAACCTCTCACATTTTTTTTTACTTGAATTTTGTCCTAAAAAGTTAGGTAGGTATGAAAAAAAATATCCTGGCGTAACAAAAGTCAAATAACTCAATTTTTCAAGAACATTTTATTATATCCCTGACACTCAGCTTGTGCACAAATGGCAACATAACAATATTCATGTCATGGGTGGAAATGCATGAAAGACGCTGCTATTTTGGCAGCATGGGCAACGTTTAACTCTTTCAACACCAGCCAACCAGAAGATTACTGCTGTGACACCAAGTTCCCAGAGACTCTTGTGTGATAGATGAAACCAACATTTATCGAGGAAATTATCTGCTGAAATTAACATCTTTGCTACTACATGTTTGGCCATACACTATTTGAAAGGTCTAATTAATCCTATTGTTTATAAATATGAAAGTTATGTGTATTACATTATTTAAATACAGTACAACACGGATATAATGAACTACTAGGGACCAGAGAAATCAGTTTGTTATATCCGTTGTTCGTTAAACACGTTTTTGCTTGGAAATGTCCGCCATCTTGGATAAGACAAAACACAATACACACGTAACTGCAGCAGTAATTGTATTAGCAGTGATCATTCAATTAATATCAATTTACAACATTCATTTAATAACATTAAATTCATAACATTTTCTGAAGATTGTTATCAAATACATGTACAAAATTTAAACATATTCATCATTTTTCAATTTACATACGAGATGCGTAGTCTGTGATTTTACTTTGGCCTCGTTTCGCTGACACGGCATCGTTCAGATCCGCCAAACTGTCAAAAGAGGTCATGTCTGTTGCTTTTTGTGTATTCAAGAAGAGCTTTAGTATTTCAAGCGCCTTATTTGCATTGGCAAAGGAGGGTTGGGCTGGTTCCACGAAGTCAATCCCATCTTGCATTTCCTCATTGTCAGAATCCATTCGACTAGTGCCATCGCGCTTGTCAACAATTGACTGGATAATGTCGTCATCGCTCGGACGTTCGGCAACAAGAATATCTCGGTCGGCGTCTATGAATTCTTGGAGTGTCATTTCGGATGGAATGTCTGTGACATTCTTTAATTCAGCCCATACATCCCGGAGGTCTGATAAGGGAATGTCATCCGATTCACTGTCGGATTCAGCTACACCATCCGTCAAAACGAAGCCACCTTTCCTAAAACAGTTCTTTATCGATGTTGCATTAACCTGCCGCCACGCTCGATGTACCATCTCGATTGCATTCAGGATGCTTATCGTGTGATCTTGTTTCTTCTCAAAACAAGATATCATGCTCGTCATCATCTGTCGCTTGTAATGTTGCTTCAGTGACACTTGACACTGAGTGAGATTTCTCAGTTCGCTATACACGTCGCTAAATCGTGATAAATAGGCTTGTCGGTGATCAGATATCAGTTCGCTGTATCCGTTAGTTCATTATATACGTAAATTTTATATGATATTATATAGGAGATAAATCAGGGATTTTTTAACAGTTCGTTGTATCCGTTTGTTCGCTATATCCGTGTTCGTAATATCCGTGTTCTACTGTAATTCATTAACAACTAAATAAAATTTGTTTTAAATAAAAATAATGTAAGCTAAAACATTCATATCGTCCAGATTAAGGACCAATGAAGCGCAAATTTAAAGATTTTTTCGCCACATATAAGAATTCATAAAATCCACTTACCCATTTCTTTTTTATTTTCATTTGTTTACGTTGTTGGAACGTTATTTTAAAAAGAATTACAAATAATATCTGTCATCACCCATTTCCCGATGATAGTGGCTGTCCGCTCACTAACATGAGGAAATACCTCCGTTTTCAAAGCTTCGTATGAATAACACAAACGTCTAAGGCTGCCATGTCAGTATACATTAAAAAAACTTATATTGTTTCACCAACAAAATCTGCTACAAGGTTCGTGATTGGTCAAATTTAAGCACGTGACCTAACGCAGCCAATCAAATTACAGCAACGGTAATTTTCAGACTTTGGCGAAAGGTTTGGGTTAAATCATGTTATTCTGAACGGTTAAGCATGGAATCGCGATCTATATTAAAAATATGGAACTTTATGGATGTATAGAGCTAGGTTACGAGCTATGACAAAGATTTCTTATGCATATATTTTGGCATTAAGACATCGTGTCCGAGCCGAGAAATCGAGGCGACGAAAGGCGAGATGTCATTTGACTGACGATTACATGCGATCGCACGAAAAGTTGGAAATAATAACTAAGATGTCAGTTTGGCAACTTTTATAGATATATTTTTGAAGATTTTATTACTTTGTAAATAAAGACGTTTCAGCACGTGAAATGTCTTTATTTTGCTGTTTGACATGTTCGATGAGGACCCGTTCTCGAAGTGTGTCCGAGAATATTTTCAATAACATTGCGGGAAATCGTGTCTAGTGAATACATTTTTAATCTATAAAAAAAAAAATGATAAAATCAAATGGAATACGTATTTCAGACATCGTGAAATGTGATAGATTTAATAAATGAATGATGTGACAAGTAGGTTAATATAATTATAAACTATTTTGACGTGACTTGGACGGTCTACCGTGCGGTGTGACTTGTGGCTTTGAACGGCCAACAGTGTTGAAATAGTTAAACTGGTCACCACTGCGCTTTGCGTTGACAAGCTATGATGGTATTAGAGAAGGATCCCAGCAAGAAATATCAGAGTGACTTCCCTTTGCTTTACGCTCGACGAGAAAATGTAATCTTTTTTTTGTTTGAACTTTTTGTCGAAAATATCGGCGGTAATAAAAAAAAGGGTAATTTTCATTTTTATTTTTTTTTAACATTTGGACTTTGAAAGAGCGGCGCATCCGTAAACCAAGAAATAAAAAAATTGTCGCCTTAGGTATGAAACTAAAGAAAATACATAGAGTTCTAAAGTTTGATCAAAGTCCTTGGATGGAGCCCTATATAAGGCTGAACACAGATTTAAGAAAGATAGCTACCAGCGGTTTTGAAAAGAATCTATATAAGCTCATGAATAATAATTTAGTATTTGGTAAAACTATGGAGAATCTATGGAAGAGTGTTGATGTTAAACTAGTCAGATCTAATGAGGAAGAAAGACTCAGGAAACTTATAGCCAGTCCGGCTTTTAGCAGAACCAAGATATTTGATAACGCCTTAGCCGCACTACATATGCAGAAGAGTAATATAAAATTCAACAGACCGGTGTACGTTGGTATGAGTATTCTTGACTTGTCAAAACACTTAATGTATGACTTTTATTACAACGAACTTAAGAAGCAGTACGGTGATAGATGCGAGGTGTTATATACCGACACAGATTCTTTGTTGATGGAAATACAAACCGAGGATGTGTATAAAGATATGGCAGAAAAAATAGATATGTGCGACACGAGCAATTACCTAGAAGATAATCCACTGCACAGCGTAGTAAATAAAAAGGTGTTAGGTAAGATGAAGGATGAATGTGCTGGGACTCCTATAGCAGAGTATGTCGGATTAAGACCTAAGATGTATTCTATAAAGAAGTCCGATAATGGAGAGATAAGAAAAGCTAAGGGTGTTAAGAAGTATGTGGTAAAAAAGCATAACAAACACGAACAGTATAAAGAAGCATTATTCAACGACTGATGTTATATATCTTAAGAGACCAAATCGGATCGGTTGCGCGACATAGGCCTCCTTCGAGTTCACCAGGCTGGTATAAATATCTTACACCTCCTCTATCCGGAGGTTTTTGTTCTTTGCTTCTCCTCAGTGCTGAAGATTCGGAAGTCACAGATTTCATTTTAATCGCACCGGATGGTTTCTTCCCGATTAATCTCGTTACTTCATTATTCAGCGCTGTTACAACAGCTGATAATCGTGTCACCCATTCAGGTGATCTAAATCGTTCCGATTTCATTTCGATACCATACTGATATCCAAACAAACTTTCCGCTAATGTCCGGTTAAATCTTTCAACGATAGCTTGACTACGGTGGGCCTCCTCTTCACCACCCCTGATTTCAACATTGTGCTTTGTTAACAGTTTAGTTATTGATCCCATAAACTCGCGACCAGGATCTACTTGAAATAGCTTGGGCCATTTTAGTGGTCCGCGTTTATATATGCGGCTCAGTGCATTAGCTACTTCTGTTGAATCTTTCGAGGTTAATGGCTCAGCCTCTTTGTATCGACTAGCCACATACACTACGGTTAAAGCATATTTATACGTTTTGCGTCTTACCTTATCGTGGGGAAGAAACAAGAGGTCAGCCTGATGAACTTCATTCGTAGTAAAAATATCAAACTTCTTCCTCGGTATATAACACGGTGCCGGTAAGTATATATTGCCACATCGCTTGTTTCTTTAACCAATCCTTGGCCACATCTTTAGATACCTTAGCCGCAGTGGCTAATTTTTGTATTGCTCCAATACCTTTCAAATATCCTCGTGGGGTATAGTAAATTTTATTTATTATTAATAAATATTGATGTTTCTTTTAATACGACTCATGACGATCGTTGAATCGCATCATCGTTTTTGCATAAAAAATTCCCTTTGTAGTAGCGGTATAGGTATATAAATCTGGCTCCAGTGGAAGTAGTCCAGAATCACCATTACCTATACTACTCCATGGGACACCCAGGCACATGTCAATTTCGTAGTGGTGATGTCTCACAAGCAGTTCCTTACATTTGACTGCGTTGGTACAGATATACCCTTTGGGGATTCGAATATGGACGAGGTCGGAAACAGATTTAGCACTTTATCTCAGCAATGCGACAGAAACCCGGGGCCCTGACAAACTCAGAACACTAATCCGTTTGACTGGAGCTCAACTAACAAAGAAGTTACAGTCACCAAGCTGAAATGCTGAAGAAGAGTCCCAGTGTTCGATTTAATATTATTATTATACCGCCGTTTATGCAAACATGACATAACAAAGAATATGTGAAAAATATGTGTTTTTATTAACGTATATACAGGATTGGGCAATTAGGAGGACTGTTTGCCGCTGACCCTGGGGCTAAGTAGTAACACGCCGGTTGTGTCCTAGGGTTACCCTTAGCACGCCGGGTACTTAAGGAATTTGGGGGGGCGCCAAAACAGTTTCTCCTGTGGGAAAATGTTTTGAGGCCCAAGAGAATGAATGTTAATACTGAATAAATGTCCCCCCAAAAGGGAATACTGAAGTGAATTATAAAATGCACACAGCTCTTTCAGCTGATTGCAGTGTGGAGTATGATACATCAATATATTGGAGAAAACAGTTTGATTTCCATCGTCCGAGAGTTTGGATGAGGTGCCCCTCTATCTGAGCAGCACTGCAGGAAGAAGCAGCTCCACGACAGAAGCTATGTGTGTTGTACAAGTCACCATTGATACCAATTCCTCCGAGAATACTACGTAGGTAGCCTAGAAATCTAGTTCTGGTGATATGTTGCCTGTCCGAATTGACGAACGGAGGATGAGCTGCCGAAGCACCGTCCTTCCTGCGCACATGTATCCAATATTTGAAGGCAGTATACGGGCAAGCGCGTGTACCTGTACTACAGAGGGTGATCGCAACGCCTTCACGAAAAGGATCAGTTTTTGACACTTTCAACGTCACTTTTGCACACGGAACACTGTGATCTAGGGTGATATCAGCCAAGCACATGTTGACAGCTGGATTAAAGCTAGTTGCACAAGTGAATTCACTACATCTCATGAATCCAAAAAATGCAGTAGTACACAGTTTCCATCATCAGGTCGTTGTAAGGTCCAAAAACTCCTTTCCTCAATGTAACTACCATATTCCTGAGAATGTCGTACGTTATTGGAAGCCTTGTTAAAGTGGGAGATGATTGCAACTTCTTGTATCCCTTCAGTATAGTTTGAAGTCTACTGGTATGACCGACGATGGATCAGTCGAACACACAATGCACACTCTTGCACATGTATTCATACCTGATACCTGCTATGTAGGTTTTCACTGTAGTGTACTTCAGATGGAGAATATTGAAACAATAAGCCACAAATTGCAGGAGGAAATCTTCATTAGCCCCTTTTCAGCTTGTATGAATAACTGAAACATGGTCAGGAAGTGAATAAACGCCTGAAATCCTGTTGTGTATGTAGCTCTTGTCTGGTGGCAAACTGCTGCCTCCCACAACATATTTAGACTTGTCGCTAGTCCCAGAGTACTTGGTTGATGGGTGGGCAGGGATGTCGTTCCTTGTCTGCATGCGGTGTCAGCTTCCTGAATCTGTCGACCTGCAATCGGGAGAGAGAGTCAGCAATACAGTTATTCGCTCCAGGTACGTGTTGGGCAAGTATAATGAAGTTATGTGTAGCAGCACACCAGGTTAGTCTATGCATGAGTTTCATAATCTTAGTACATTTGGAACGTCCTTTCTGTATAATGTCAACTGTAGAAAGGTTGTCACAATGAAATAGAACGCGTTTGCACGTCCATTCATGCCCCCATAAGATGGCTGCTACCACAATGGTGTACAATTCAAGGAATGACATA